GACGCAGAGGCCGTTGACAATGCAGAGCCGGCCAGCAGCAGCAAGAGACCAGCTCCTGAGACAAGTGATGCTCGTGCTTTCCAGCCTCGAGAGACCGCACATGTCAAAACATTGAAGCGACAGGAGCAGAGCCTGGCTGCAGAGCTGGGCCGATATGCTTCACCAAGCGATGTGGCCAGTGTGGTGTTGGGAGCTGCGACAGTTCTAGAATCGAAGTGGCCAGGGATCAAAGACTTGCTAGCCGCGCATCTTGCAGCTGCTGTGGAGCCTGCCCGTGATCCAGCTGCTTGCGCAAAATGCGTTCAGATTGTCCAAGGGCTGGGTTCCTCGCCAGGTTTTGCCAGTCCGTGTCCTGCCAAAGGCATTTGGGAGGTGAGGGACCACGTAGACTCTTTGCTAGGAGCTGTGTTCCGAGACAAGACCGTCCTGAATGGCATGGGTTACGACATCGGGCGCCATCGATGGGCAAAAGCCGTAGTGCCAGAACTGCAGGAAGAATCTAGACCCGGCATTCGTGGGGGACGTCCCAACATGCGAGACGATCCAAATCTCATACAGCTTGTCAAGGATCGTTTGGATATGTTTACCCAGACAAGCTCCCGCCTATGTGTCAAAGGTCCACGGTCATCTCATGAATGGCAAGTCGTTCGTACGCTGACAAAGGACGCGAACAGCATTTACAATGATGAGCCGGACATTTTCAGCAGTATGAGCAACAGGACGCTGAAACGGATCATGCGCAAGCATCTGTGCCAGTACAAACCGGCGTGGAACGAAAGCGATTGGTGTCAGTACTGCTTTGACCTTGAGCACAAGATCTGCCCTCAGGTGGCCGAACTGGTCCAGGACGTGCGCAGCAGGCTTGCTGCCTTCCTTCCTTCGTACTTTGAAGCCTTCGACACCTACGCGCAGCGTGAGGGATTGCAGGAATCCCCTGGTCTGCACCTGCGGATGCTACGCCATTTCATCTACTTCCACGAACGCCAAGGGCCTTGCCGTGCGCATTCGCGCCAGGGATCTCTGCCTTGTGGTATGGCTTCGATGCGGAATGCTCAGAGCGGATTTCCGCAGCGTCAGCTGTTGGATTTGCGGGAGGCAGAGATCCAGATTAACAAGGAGTTGAAGGCCATGTCCAAGTTGCTCGACTCGTACCTCTTCCATCGGGCAGTGAATGCCCACCAGAAACCTTTGCTGAAAACCATCTTGGACAATCCAGGACATGGCGTCCTTTCTATGTTATGCGACTTCAAGGAATTGATTACTCTGCCCATCATGGGCAAAACACCTGGTGAAGCATTCTTCGCGACGGCGAGGATGGAGCTAAGCTGCTTCGGCTGCGTACTTACCGAAAGCGCAGCAGGGAGTACGCAGGAGCCCATAATAGGATCTTTGTCGTTGTTACTACTAGTATTGCTGCTGTTGTCTTGGTTGTGTCCTTCTTGATTTAGGATTTGGGGTTTAGGGCTTAGGGTCAGGGTTGCAGGGCGGGTGGGTGAGGTGGAGTGCGGTAAATTATAATGTTACTATTTCCTGATTTTGGGTCATTACATGCGTGCGAGCTTTTTCAACAGACTCATAAACGCCACAGGAGTGCCCGCAGGCGCAGAAGCTCTACATCATTCTCATTTCGGACACGTTAGACCATACTTGTACAAGGGCTAACCACTGCATCGATATTTGCCTTCGCCAGCGGAGCTCGTCGGTGCAGTTGCGCGAAATCAATATTATGTCCGATGCTGCTGGACACTTCAGAGGGTTTGAGTCCCTTTACCATCATTGTGTGAAATTAGTGCGCGATCATCAAGTACCTGTCCGCGTCCATTACGGATGTGAGAAACATATGAAGGGAGAGTGTGATGAGCTATTTGGGTGGATGGAGCTTGCCATGAAGCGTGCCAAACAGAGGAAGTGCGAAATCAAGACCATGGATCAGCTCAAGTGGTGGTTGGATGATTATAGCGCGGCTATGCGAGCGCAGGATCCGTCTTCGCCACGCATGACCGTTCTCGTGGACACGGAAAGGAAGCCCCAGTACGGAAGGCGACTGCTCTCCAACTCATCTGATTTCGCCATTACTCGGACGTACAGTATTACTGCAGTGCCCCTGGCCGCAGCTGCTTCACGTTACGGTGTCCGTGTGTACAACAACATTTTCAGCTCGCGCCCAGTGTGGAAAGAGTTGACTTCCAGCTTGTATGATGAGCCTGCGAACAACCTGGAGGAGCCGTGTCGTAAGGGATATTACGGGTCTGGTCGTGAGAACTGGGACACTGCCCCGGTTCCTTTGAATCAAAGCACTGAAACTGTCCTCACTAAGAGGCAGACGGCGCAGGAACGGCATTTGGCACAGGGCTGCGACATCAAATACTCCCGGGAGCTTGACGACGAGGCTTTGCAGCAAGAGCTGATCAAAAAGACTCAGAGGTTGCAAAGACGTCGAGCCAGGGTGCGCATCAAGCAAGCTGCGCTCGAAGCCAAAGTCAGAGCCCATCTTGCAAGTTCCAGTTCTAGCTCCAGCAGCTCGAGCAGCTCCAGCTCCGAATGAAAATGGCGCACTTAGGGCAAATATGGTGGCGTCTGGCGTCGTTGGATCCCTGCATAACCGATAGGGGTCACCCCTGAGTAAGTCTCCTGGCATACTCTAGCTGATCCCTGCATAACCGATAGGGGCCGACCTGAGTTCTCGCGGGCTTTACGTCGAACCATAGGTTTAGTCAGCCGCTCATATGATTCTTCAAAAAGGTAGTTTTTTTGT